TTTACTTAGATCTCATCTTGGTAGATTTATGATGTTCTTCTGTCCCGAAAAGTCACATTTTGTGCATGTTTGGTGTTGGACGTTTTGGGTTGTCCTTTCAGACCCTAGGAAGGGTTCTAAGCCATAAAACTAAGGTCCCTTTAGCTAGGTTGGCTCCAAGATTCTTGTGGAAGGTCTTAATGGATTAAGACCATCTATTAAGGACTTTTTGGACGTCTAAAGTCATAAAGTTGGAGACTTTATGACTCTAAGGTGCATTTGAACCATGGATCTGAAGTTTGGGCTTAAGTGCTTAAGCCATTAATCACTTATTGAGGTTTTGGACTCTACGAGGGTACGCCCCACATACTTGGTCAATGTCCCCGTATTTCAGTCAATGCAATGCTTATGTACGTTGCGCGTACCTCCGGAGTATGCCCTACGTACTCGCATGGTTCAGCCGTTTTCGAGTTAACTCGGCTGGGTTAACTCGGTTGGGTTGACTCAGTGGGTTTATGGATTTTGACCAGTTGACCTTGAGTTGACCATGTTTGACCATGTTTGACTTTTAAGGGTATTTTTGGGTATTATTGGTTTTGATGGAATTGGTCACATCGTGGTTCTAGGCATTTGAGTTGTGAGCTGAGATTCGGAGTTAGGCCTTATCAGTTCTGTGCTGCTTGTGAGGTGAGAGGCACCAATGCCGACCCTTGGATTGATATCCTGTTGTGAATATTATGCTATAGTGATCTGGTAGATCACTATCCTGGTAGTTAGGATGATGCTATGCTTAGTGATTTGTAAGATCTGTTTATTAGTTTGCTGGCTGGTTAATAGTATGGTTATCTGTATTATGTATACATGATTGGTTGGTGGCTGAGGCTTCAATGCTTTGTTCGTAAGCCAACAGGTTGGGGCATTCCAACCCGATGGTTGAGGGGCTAGGGTATTCCATCTCTAGGATGATTGGACCTATAGTATGTTGGCATTCCAACCCGATGGTTGAGGGGCCTGGGGTATTCCAACCCGATGGTTGATTGGACCTATAGTATGTTGGCATTCCAACCCAATGGTTGAGGGGCCTGGGGTATTCCAACTCGATGGTTGATTGGGCCCATAGTATGCTGTTATTATATTTGTGTTATTTGTTATGTATTGGTATTTTGCGGGAAATCACTAAGCTTTGGGCTTACAGTTTTGGATTATGTTTCAGGTACCTCAGAGGATCGCGGGAAGGCGAAGGCATGATCGTGCACCTCCTCATGTTTTGTTTTATGATTTTGGGATTACTCTGATATTGAACTCATTTTGAAAACAATTTATAAACAATGATGTTTTTGGGTTTGTTTAAAAGTTTAAATTTTTCATGAATTTCATGAATGTTACATATGGAGTCATTATACAAGCCCTGTTTCATTGATGATTCCGGGACGTAATCATCTTAAGGGGGAGATAATTGTAACGCCCATAGATTCGGCTAGTTAATTTAGAGGCAATAAGCGTTAAAAATGACTTTTTGATAAAAGATTATTTAGAGTAAATAATCTTAACCAAAGTTATAGTATATGTCACAAGGATTTCGTACATATAAAGAACGCTGAAATCTTACTTATAACGAAGAAGTTATGACCCGTCGAAGTTTTTGCTATTAAACTGGCACGGCTTCGCGTAACGTAAAAAGTGATTTTTTGACGAAATACTTTTTATCCTTATAAATCTAAACAAAAATCATAGTAGACGTTAAGCCGAGAGCGTGCATATAGAGAACGTCCAAATCTGACTTCGTTTGAAGAAGTTATGAATTTTCTAATATTTAGTGTAGCAGTACACAACCCAAAAATCAAATTTTGGATCGAGCAATTTTTATCCAACACAACCAAAATGAGAATTGAAGATCCCGTTAATAGGAGCTCAATGATATAAATACAATCAAAAACGGACGTCGGATGACAAAGTTATGAATTTTTAACGGACTTTAACTATGTAAGCCTTTAAAAATATAACTTTATAATTAAATTCAAAATTAGCCGACAGAGTCTATATGAAAGTTGTAGATCTTATCAATAACCACGCATGGATATAAAGAACGTCAAAAATGGAGCTCGTATGCGAAAGCTATGATTTTTTTAAGAATGGTTATTTTCCCTGCGTCCCGCGCCACGTGTCAGCACCAGGCGAAGGCTTGGTGCGTGCGCAAGGTCACGACACGAAGGCTATGTGTCATGACGCGAAGCGCCCTTGGACAATCTATAAATAGAAGGCGTAAATCACTCATTTTTTCACACCTTTCTAACCCACTCTCTCTCAAACACCCCCAAATACTCTAAGCCTTTCCCTGGCACCTCCTAGGTGTTAGTAGCGAGTCTCGGAGCGCCAGAAGGCCCCGAGAAGAAGAGCTTTCGGCTCAGAAGTTCTTCCCGCGTAGAGCCCGATTCCTCGCTAAACCCCCTGTAAGTTGAGTTATGTTTACCGTACTTTAAGTATAACTTATGGTTAAGTTCATTTTCGTTATTATTAACCTATAAACAAGATTTATCAGTGATTCCAAGTCGTTATACTGATCGATCTACTTACGGGGATGATGACCCACATAGCCATGTCGATTCGGTCGCGAAACTTCGAAGAAGCATAACTTCTTCATATGAAGTCGCATTCAGACATTTTATATATCTACAGAAATCGTATAGATGTTTCCTACATGTTTAAGATGATTACTTTGGCTAAAAAGTAATATATCTCTATTTCATATCTTATAAATGATAGTTTATATTGAATTCTATTGGAATGTGAAAAAAAGGGTGTTACAACTCTCCCTCACTTACAAAAATTTTGTCCTTGAAATCTTGCTCATTTCTCTCCTACACATCACCCTATTGGAGTCTTTTGAGATCAACTCGTGATCTTAGCTGACGTTTCCGCATCGAATTTGCCTATCCATACTTATTTAGCCGTAGAACTTCATTTTCTACTTCAGATGTACTCCCGAATTCCTTGCGAAATATTCCAAAACCGGGAATTCTTCCGGTTGGACTTCCAGAAATTTCATGCGACGATTGACAATCGCGTTCAGATGTGAAATGTTGACATAGTCAACTCTTTATATAGCGATTAACTAGGGAAACGATATCTTAACGGAATCCATTTTCTGGAACATGCCTTTAAAAGGCTTATGGTATATCGTGCTCACTTTGTTTTCTTCGACAAATTTCTATGGTATGCCCTTAAAACACACCCGAATCTAGATTGCTAGTGGTTTCTCTACCTAGTTTAGGCGTTCCAACATCCTGAAATTTAAAAAAAATCTACTATAAAATGTTAACTGGCTTGAAAACATTAGAACCAATACTTTAATATTGGTGACGGAGTCATATTAAGGCTTGCTTATCTTCCCACTTACAAGATTATAATGAACACTAGGTTGCCTAATAGCCCTCACGCAAGGCTCTAACTATATTACCTATATCGAGGTACAACTATTTTTCGAGCAATACGTTCACGGTACATTGTGACACTTATCCAACTACTGTGATTATGATGTTAGATCGCTCTTGTCATCATCCCTCCTTGGGCCTGAAGAGTCACGATCAACCCTTCGGTGGTCTTAAAAACTCACAACCATTATCTGATTGTCCTAAAGGAATTTTATTGTCATATGCTAACCTATGGGCGTTGAAATTCGATCTACATTGTACTGATGCTAAATTCTAACTGTTGTCTTATGCCAACCTATGGAAGTTGAAACTTGATCCTAGTTTTTAATTTTTTATGCTTATTGTCTAAAGGAATAACTGAAATGTGCAGTCTATCTTGAAGTCTAATATAACGGTGAAGCATTACCATATGCTTAATCAGTATACTCCTTTTTGAATGGTCCCCTCCTACGGGTCTCTAATCGTACTCACGAAAACACTCTATCCCTTGACGTTGATCCTACTATTATAATCCTTTGACATGGGTTAACTAAATCCTTTACTATGGTTGAAATCAAATTCCCAAGTCTAGTGTATGTCTTGAGTATTCGACGCTCTCTTTGGCAATCTACGCGACTGATGTGCCATCAGGTCCGTCTTCCATCTTTCACTCAAGGATTGGTTCTCCCCAGGCTAGTAGATTGACCTGAAGACTACAAACAAACCGTAAGTAATCGGCCGGGAGGGGATCCCGGATGACTCTCTGACGGTTAAGTTAGCGAAGGGCTATGTATTCGATCGATTATACACAAGAGTTAAGAGCAGGTTTTGTGTACTTACCTTCTTGACAAGTCGAGCCGTCTATTTATAGTGATAAGAGGAAGCGGCGAGCTCTTCTTATATCGACCCTGACATGCCATCTTATCGTATTTATGGCATTATGCCCGAAGGTATGACTATTGGTACAATACATGTCGTTACATAGCTGTCGTGCGGCTGTGCCAGGATCCACCAGCCACGTATCCTCATACAGGCTGTATTATCATAGTTTCGAGATACCGTAATTACTGTTTCGACATCACTTTGTACCTTCCCTTTGTTCTTTCCTTTAAAAATCGTTATTCCAATTCGGTATTTAATGATTGGAGCATCTTCGAGACGTATGAGGCGGCTAACTTCGAGTGATCCTCCAACATGCTGGTTCGGTATGTTTGGAAAGGATATAGGTATTTTTGGGCTATATCCTATTAAGCCCCCCTAGTTTGTATCTCTACATGTTGGATGGAGTAGGGATGCAAACTTTGGAAGTAGCGACATTATAGCCGTTACGATCGGATAGGGGCGAGAAACTCCTGAGTTAATTACGATGTGATGTGTTGACGGTTATGCTAGTCATAATGATGATCCCTATAACCGTCTTTTCACCTGCCTTTTCTTTAATAGGGGTACAGTATCTACCAACCACATTGTCTGCCTGTTAACCTTCATATGCTCTAGACTTTCTATAAATACTCGGTATTAAACCACCCATTTCACCATTTGCTATTTCAGTTAGAGTCAGTTTCCTTCCTCTATCAACTTTTTCTCTCATTTTCTTCTTCTCTTCTAAACATGGCGAGCACTGGGATTTCTCACATCGGGACGGTGAAATCCAAATTGACCGTTCGAACCATGGTATGCTCGTTTGGAAGTATAATATCGATCCCAAGTTCCATCCTCACTTGTTGGAGGCCAACGATGCCATTATTGACGCCCATGAAGGCTTTGTGGGGGTTTATCGAGTATTCTTCAAATCCGGGTTGCATCTCCCTGCTTTCGATTTCCTCAAAACCGTTCAGGATTATTATGGTCTGCACATCGCCTAAATAACCCCTAATGCTTTTCGCAAGATTCTTTGCTTCACCCTGCTGTGCGTCTCTCTGGATGTGTTATCGACCATCCATCTGTTTCGTCACTTCCATATTCCTATATCCAATGGAGATTGGGTTTCTTTATCTCTTCGTCATGGTTTAGTGGAGATCTGTGACGGTCTTCCAACCTATATCAAATATTAGAAAGAGGAGTTCTTTTTTGTTCATTCCTCTGCTTTCTCCGGCCCAATAGCATACGACGCTACTGCTGACAAGGTTGTCGACCCCATCCCGGAACTATCACCCGACGAGCAGTTGATAATGGAAAGGTTATCGGACAATTTTGTTCGATGGGTGGACCCTGATGAAGCGATACTTGGTATGGCTGGTGTGAGTCCTCATTGGAACCGTTTGGGTAAGAAGCTAGTAGAGGTGTTTGAGGGAAAAAACGTAACACTTCTTGACCGACTCCATCAAAAGAAATTTGTGAACACCACCCTAGTGACGGAGTAGGTGATGGCACTGGATTCCCTGAGTAGGTCAGAGTCTAGCATGGACGCTACCCTAGATGTTTCCCAATCAGAGGGTTCTAGACCTATTCCTCCTAATCGTCGGTCGAAGGGTGTGAAATTGGATGTTGATTGTGGTAAACCTCCCACCGTGTTTACTAGGGGTACCTCAAAAGGTTTCATCTTGAAGAAGCTCTCTAAGGGTGTTCAATATGATCAACTCATCAAAATTTCTCCTCCCAAACGAAAATTTTCTGGTCGTGAATCCAGAAGCTAAAGCCTGAATGATCTATCTGACCCTTCGACTTCCGATGTTGCAAGCTTTGAGTGTACCTCGGAGGGTCCTGCTACTATTGTCCTTCACGAATGTTAAATCGAACTAGACAACGAAATGAAGCGTGTAGAGGATGAGGCAGAGGTGTCTCATTTGGGCAAATCAGAATCGGAGACCGTTACTGGAGGTCTCCCGGAGAAGATCCCTGAAAATCCCTTTTTAGAGAAGGAAGACCCCAAGATTCTATAGGTTGCATCTGTGTTCCAACAGAAACTCTTCGGGTTCGGACTTCGTCGTTTCATGGCATCAACTACCGACTCTTCAGTAGTTACTCCTATTCCTATTCCCTCTGATACCATGACTGGGAATGAAGAGCCCGTGGGGACCGAATCTGTAGACATGGAAGTCAGTATTCCGGATCCTCCCCCTGCATCAGGCCGTATGTTCCTTTTCTTTCCCTGCCAACGTTTGCTTTCTTCTTTCTATGCTCTTTAGATCCTTGTTATAATTTACTTGCTTGTTGACTATGCAGCTATTGTTATTACAAGAAAGGAGGCCGCAATGCCATCACTAATTACTCTTACTACTTCACTTCCCCAGTTCCAACGACCCTTTGTTGTTACTGTTGGATTACTGTCTAAGTCCATAACTATGATTGGTATGTACTTGACCCGATTTGGCATGGTCCATTTGGGTTGCACTTCACCGGAACAATTTATATTGATAGTCTTTTGAGAATAGTATGTTTATGATTTATATTAATATATTATAAGTTCTAATATATTAATATGGAATCATACTATTTAATTAGTATTGATCAATAATTAATTTAGAATTAATTTAGTGATCAAAAAAGGAACTAATTAAATATGGACTCTTATATATATAGCATGGGCCAAGTTCATTTAGGTTGGGCTAAGCTTGCATGGATAGTCCATGGAGTTTTTAACCCATGGATCTTATGGAAATGAAAGGTCGTGGGGTTTACATGAATGTAACCCTAATCCTCCATACTATATAAATAGGTCTTTGGCACATGAAATGGCACTAGTGTGTGAGTAAACAAGAGTGGGCCAATTTCTAGCGTGCTTACTATTCTCTCAAGTTTTCCAAGGTGTTTTTGGTGATTTGTGATTCCACTTGAGGCTTCCACATTATTGGGGCTAAGCTCTTAAAGTTCAAGACTTCAAGCTACATCAAAAGGTATGTCATCTAACTAGGCTTTTGTAGTATAGTTGTTTCATATCATGCTAGTTAGGATGAAACCTTGGAATATTGAATATTTTCATGTATAATAGAGAAAACATAGATCCAAGGTTTATAGGGTTGCATGTACACCATAGGAATGTTAGAATGCTCAAAACGCATCAGTGGTATCAGAGCCTAGGCTTGTTTTCTTTTATACTTGATGCAAATTGTTGAAAATCAAAGTTTGTATGCTGTCTGGACAGCTGACTCGCCAAGTCCATTAAGGGACTCGACGAGTCCATGCCTAAATTCATCCAACTCGTTGAGTTGTTTCATGCACTCGACGAGTTGGACCACCTGACAGCATATCTTCGAGTTTTAAGACTGGAATTGGTCTTGAATCATTACCTTAAACTGTTTTGGACTTATAAAACCTGTTTTTGATGTGGTAATGATTATGGTAAACCAATTTCAAAGTTGTTATCAAAATTTCAAGCTTTATGTGTGTTTATGTACTTCTTGAAATTGTTGATATGATTGTTCATATACTTATGAGTTTTGGTAGATCATAGGAATTATTTGCAAAATTGTTTGTTAGTAAACTCTTGATCTAAATGTATTTTAATGGAGTCCATAATTTGTCCTCAAGTTATGGATTACCAAAAGTCATTTCTTTTAAAAGATCCATTAAAATTCATAGGTCTCACAATTGAAGAGTCTTTTTGACTTATGAACTCCATAACTTGTCCTCAAGTTATGGATGTTCAAGAGTCTCTTCATTAAAGTTTTTAAAACCGTAATTAAACTCATAAGTTATGAAGATCCAAAAGTTTTTGAATAGTTCAAAACTTGCCCTTAAGTTTTGGAATTTGTAAAGTCTCACACACACTTTAATTCCAAACCCTAGAGTTTTAAAAGTTAAAATTCAATCCTTATACTTTATAGTATTATAAGTTAATAATATATATATGTAAAAGAACAAAGTCAGTCTTATCGTTAGTAGGCCTCATTCACGAAGTCGGTCTAAAAGGGGGGTATAAGGTTACTGCCTATAAAATGACATTTTAATAGGTGTCCACTCTCACCCACCGCTTCCTTGACTGGTGGAGGGTCATTAGCCGAACGGGTAGAACAAGGACTATAATTTTCATTATAAGTATAATTATAAAAATAAAGTAACTAAACCTTTTATAAATTCTCAATCTTAGTTACTTTAGGAAAATATGAATTTGGTGCTAACCCATGAAATTACGCTTTGCACTTTGCTTAAGTTGTTAGTGGAGCGTGTGTGGTTAACCGACACACTAACCTGGATTTAACAAGGTGGGCAAAGGGTAACTTAATGTTTATCTTAGAATCGGTGGAGCGCGTGTGGTTAACCGACACATCGATTAAGTGATAATTATTACGGGTACCAAGTATATTTTCATGGTTATTCACAACTTGTTTTGTGATCCTCGACATCCTAGTCACAAAACTTGAGAGGGCACAATCGAGATTGAAACATGCCATTGAAAAGTTCAATGAATCTCAAAAGATCTAGGAATTTCAAATCCAATTAAAACCTAATAAATTATTTCGTTTTTCATGGTGGAAATTGGTGAATCGTCATTCGCCTACCTTCAAATATTTTATAGCTTGGATTACGGCATCCTTCTTCCAAGTTATAAAATATTGTGTTGGGTCCTAGCCTTAATATTTCATATTGGGTGTTCTATTAAGGATTTAAATCAACTAACTTGAGTTTCTCCCATTGTAGATGTCTGGTTCAGACAACTATGATCTTCCCAAATCTCTTGGAACAAGCTTTCCTAATGAAGATGATTTCTTGCGATTGGTTCATAGAAATCATACTTCTCTTCCTCCACCTCCTCCATTTATTCTCCCTGGCCCACAAACTCCAAGACTTGAAAAGTTCAAGGTCACTCAAGCCCTACTAGAAATGAAACATATAATTGGAAGACCTGTGTGTACTCATGTCTTAGGAATGAAGTCACACATTGACAGGTTGAGGATGTTGGGTGTCGTTGTTCCAAGGAAGTTGGCTATTGACTGGGTTCTTCAGTCACTTCCTGAGTCATATAGTGAGTTTATTAAAGACTACTATGTGACAGATCACAACATGACCCTAATAGATCTTTCTTGTTTGCTTGTTGCTGCTGAATCAGCAATGATTTGGCGCAATGGTCAAGCAAATATTGGTGGAAAGTCTATTTCTTAAACTTCCATGGACATTGACAATGGTAACATTGGAAGTCCAGAAAAGCTTTCTCTTCCCAATGGAAAGGGATCCACTACAAGAAATTGGGGTCTTTACCTACACATAACTTACCCACACATATTATGTAATACCTACACATATTTTGCATATGTGTGGGTAATTAAAAATAATAAATTTTCATAAGAGATAACATTTAATATGTGTAGATAATACCTTATAGTAACATTTTATATGTGGGGACATTTTCCCTCCAAGATTTGTGATTTACGTAATATGAAATTACCCAAACATGTTGAAAAATTTTCCTTATGTGTAGGTAATACGGCTACACATATATATAAATTGAATGAATGTGTAGGTGATTCATTTTGTTTTACCAACACATAATTTTATTTCAGTATGTAAATAAATAAATTAATAATAATAACTAATATTATATGAATGACATGGCAAAGTAATACCCACACATGTTTTTTATGTGTAGGTAATTTATTTACACACATGGATATATATTAAATGGATGTGTGAGTAATTCATTAAATTTTATCGACACATAATATCATATGTGTAGGTAAATATATTAGATAATAATAATTATTATTATTATTTTATAATTGAAGTGACAAATCAAATAACCACATATTTGAAAATGAAATATACGTAGGCATATGTTGGTAATTCAATAATTTCCACTAACATATAGTAATATCTATATATAATTAATGACGTAGAAAAGTAATATCTACACATCATTGGGGATACAATTTATGTGTAAGTAAAAATATAAATATATTTAACTAATTATAACTACTACATACACATAACTTTTATTAATAAATGTGTTGAGAGTTATTGATGAATAAATGTGTTGGTAAAGGTTTTATTTTTTTTAATGATACGGAAATCGACAAATATAAATACAATTGAATTTGAGCGTATGTGGTGAATTTGTCAATTTTTACTAATTTTTACTAATTTATAACAAGTAGTTAAATAAAATATTTTGAATTATGGAGTATTTTGACTATTTTCGTTCTATTTGAAATATTTCAAAAAAAAACTATACAAAAAACTTCAACCGATCATTTATTCGACCTAATTTCTTAAATCTAATTTAAACTATCCCGCCCCCAAAATTTTCTAACGATTCCCTCCTTTAGCAAAACTCCCCATTTCCCTTCATAGATAAAGAAGCATGATATCTCTTTTTTTCTTCTTAACCGTACCACTGCATTCTCTCTTTTCTTCCGGCCATCAAAGAACACACGCCTCCATCATCTCCCCTTCAACTCGTCGGACATCACAGAGGTCCACCGCTGACCATCGCATACCGTCTTCGTCGCACGCACCACCGCCGTCACAGGCCAGTGTCGCACGTACTGTAAAACACCACCATCCATTCTTCTCCCTCCCACCTTCTCTCCGATCTACCTCCCTTCGTTGGCGACGCCGCCACCGCAAGCCCGACGAGCGACGCCCTCCACATCCTCAAAGTCATCGATTTTCCAGTTCTAGGTAATGTTTTTTTTGAAATCATGTCTCCTGCTTCTTCTTCTCGCACACCAACCGTCGTCGCCTGCTCCTTCCCCGCCATGCTGGTTGTTTAAATTTATAAGCATCTATGGAGGATTAACATGGGGAGTTTTATTCGAAATGAAATTCAGATCGATGGAGATGTAATTTCTTGTGTAAGTGTTTTATGCAAATGGGTAGAAATTATTGTCTAGTCACTGTCACTGATGAGTTTGCTTTAGAAATATCACTAACTTTTTTTTAGCTTTATAATTTGTGGTGTTATGAGGGTGTTTGGTGTTTTATTGTATATGCCAAGGTAAAGTTAGGAAAAGTGGATTCTGCACAGGAGGTGTTCGATGGAATGCTCAAGAGAAGTTATTTTGTACATGGATTTTATTTTTGCATACATGTTTTATTGATTTTTGGTCATTTTGGCATTGCGGTTGATGATGTGAGTAAAACTTGTACCATTTGATTTATCGGGGTTCTTGCTCAAATGGTCAATTAGTCCATACAAACATTAAGACTGTTGATCTCATAAAGACAAAGGGTGACACCATAATTACAGAAACTTGTCCGGTCAAAGTTGGGAACTAATTTTATGGTTTATAAACAGATATCAATGGGCACAGATGATGTTTATAAAACTGTTGAAGTAGGTAAACTTTTTGGTTAGGAAAATTACTAGAGAACCCACACCATTACCTGGCATCAGCACTAAAATTACATGTTAGATAATAATGTTTTGAAGACGTAAGTTCCTTGTAATAGCAATGTAATTTCACTTATTTGTTCATCATAACACCCAACTATAATGGTTTACCTTTAGTAGTTTTACATTCACATGCTTTCATGCAGAAGGGGTAGGAAGAAGCAGAAGGAGGTTCAAGTAGGGTGGAATGCTAAGAGAGGTGCACATTCTTTTGGTAAATTTAATAACGATTCAAATGTTTACTTGTTTTCACATGTTTATACTTACTTTTATACTAACTTTGCTCATGGAATTTTATTTTTTTAGGAAACACTACTTATGCACAAGGACTTGACTCATGGTGGTACATCCAAGTGTTGCATATCACTCGACAGTCTTGTGGTCTTTTGTTAGTTTAAGTATTTCAAGTTTTATGACTTGTAATTTTCTTGTGGCTTGAAATATTATGTTAGACAATTTTTAATCTATAATGATATTTTGATCGCATATGTTTCTATTTATACATATGTTTGTGTATATTTTGTACATATTTGAAGGTTATTACTTATTACTTCTATATATATCATCTTTAATACCCACATAAATATATTTTTACCTACACATAACAAAGGAAATACGTACACATATATTAATACTACCTACACACAGAAAAACTATTACCCACACATATTTTTATGACACCTATAATCGATGCCATCCATGTAGACCACGTCGAAAGCCACGTCAACAACCATGTCAGCTTCCATGTTAATAGCCATGTCATTAACATCCAAAAACATATCAAAATACCTCTACCTACACATACTTACTACTTTCAACCACACATACATGTGTAGGTATAGATTAATCTTTAACTACACATAAACTATGTGTTGGTAACGATCTATTTCAACAGGCATGAGCCAACACATAGTTACACTTAATTTATGTGTAGGTAGTGCTGACTATCAACACATCTTATGCTTTTACCAACACATAACATGTGTGGGTAATAGACCAAATTTCTTGTAGTGATCGGCCTTGGTCAACCCGGTTGACCAAAAGGTAAAGGGAAAAGCTAAGTCTGTAATAGTCCCGTGTACCATTCCCAAAGAGTCTATATGTTTTCATTGTCAAGAGAATGGTCATTGGTTGCGAAACTGCCCTAACTACCTGAAAGATCTAAGAGAAAAGGAAGAATAAAAAAGGTTTTTGACTCTGCTTCAGGTAAGTCCACTATCTAACTCTGTTAAGTTCCTAATTGATGATTCTTAATATAAAATGTGACTCGGTTACATTTTGATGTTTGGCAGGATCAAGAAAAAGGAAGGAAGCTTAAAAGAAGAGTATGCTGAATCTGATCGTGAAGATGGATTTTAATCGCATGGTTCGAAGATCGGATTCTTGAGCTACTACTTAGGAGTGATGATGGATTGCTAGGAAATATGTAATAGCATAGTTTTCATTTAAATTTGCATTGTAAGGAAAACGTTTTTCCGCGTTTTTAATAAATAAATAAAATTTTGTTTTATTTTATATCTCCTTGCAATGGCATTTATGGAAAATTGATGTTTGTATGTTTCTAGCAATAATGGAAATGTGAATTTGATTCTTTCATTTGTGGTAGTGTCTAAATTTACCAAATAAGAAAAGATTCTCATCACCCAAAGTTTCAATTGGACCGAAACTTGGATTCATGCAAGTTGTATAGCATGATAAATGAAAATCTTCATCTTTGGAAAATTAAGACTAATTCCTGGTTCACATGTATATGTGAGTCAAGTGAAGACTAAGGGATCGAGTACACATTCTTGTGCACTGGTCAAGTCCACCACAAAAGATCGATCAGACTGTTCGTCATGATTTACTAAAGTTTAGTAAATATGGTTATACTTACAAGTTTAAGTATAATTCTAAAGCATTGGAAAAGTTTCGATGTGTGGCAGAACGAATGAGAAGAATCAAATTTGGCAGAAAAAATAAAAGTTTCTCAAATCTGAAAAGATGGGAGAGTACTTTAGTATCATGTTTTATGATCATCTTAATGATTGTGAGACCATATCACAATTCATCCTCTAGGGACATCTTAGTGCGTTCTTATGGCTAAGAAGAGGAGTCATGAATTATTGAAATGGTAAAATCAAGAAGGTGATACATACTTCGTTCCAAAACAAGCCTTAGAGTCATACTCCAAGATTGTAATTTGAGTGACACATCTTAAAGAAGGTTTATTAACACTTGTCAAATGTAAGAGTAAAATGTGTCCTACTCTTGTACATTTGAAATTGGTAAGTTGTGATGTTTTGGATAAAATAGAGACCAACTTAAGTCAATTGTGTGAAGTGTTTGTCTTGATAAGAATCCGCACTATCTCTTGAATATTTGTTTGTCAAGGAATGGGTCTTGGCAAGAGAGTCTTATATGTCAAGAGGACAGTGGGAGTCTAAAAGATCTTGAAAGAGTCTAATCAAGAATAAAACCTGTAGTTTATCACTAGCACACGACTTGAGGTTTATAACCTATCGTGTTGACATATTCCTATTTTGTGCACATTCTAGTTAAAGTTGGCCTTGTATATGAGTTCTGAGAGTTCTCAATTGATTGCATAACAACTTGGAAGCAATGGCAGGCCCTTGTGCTGCCAGGTGGCAAGAAGTTAAGACTGCACAAGTTCAATCCATATGAATTTGGATTTGTCACTAACCGTGTCTTGTGATTATGGTTATGAAAAATTTACATGGATAGGAACATATACACCATAGAAATCTAAGTGTCATAAGGTTTCTCTCCGATTCATGAAAATGATGGTGAGGAAATGCTTTCACTAAGAGGTTTTAAGTAGATAGCAATTGTGATATTTTCATTCTCGAAGTCGTTAGTGGAGCGTGTGTAGTTAACCGACACACTAACATGGACTTGTGAGGAATGACAAAGGTCTAAACAATTGAGACTGTGATTACGGCATCCTTTTTCATAGTTCTGAAATTGTTTAGACACACATGTGTGCTATCTAAGGAAAGGTGTATGATTTTGATAAAATTTTATCAAAGCATCTCGTATCAGAAGTCTGAACTTTGTTAAGAAAGTCAATAAAGTATTGATTTCTAGAAGTCCAGCTGATTTCTGAGTACATGTCCAAGCTAGTGGGAGCATAAGTGTTATGCTAATAATCATCATGTTAGTGGGAGCATGATAATTATGATAAGTGTTGCAAGTTAGCAATATTAATTATAGAAAACAAAAGTTTCAATTGGGAAAAGTTGTTTTGCTATAATTAAGGGAGAGGAAATTATACTTCATTTCAATTCTAAAAGCTTAGATTGAGATTTTTATCATCTTTAGTCAATGATATATATATATATATATATATATATATATATATATATATATATATATGAATTTTATGTTGGAATGGATCAACTTAAGGAAATTCTATATATATTGTGTTCTCAAAATTCGATTATGATTACGACATCCTTCTTCATAGTCGAATTATGAAAACATGGCAAATAAAAATATTGTAGCAAAAGACTGGTCTAGAATCATGTGTTTATGTGAGACATCATGAATCGTGTCCCATATGCTTCGGGTATAGGATCGATTGCATGTGCTATAATGTTTATCCTTCTAAATTTTCCAAATGCCTGGGGGCATTAAGAGGGGAAAAGGTCTAGAATTGGATATGACTAAAATGATTAAGCAATTGCGAGGACAATCTAAGGTTTACCAAAGATTGGTTGCTCGGGGACAGTTGGAAGTATAATGTTAATTTTGGAAGGACCATATTGACATATTCTGAAAGGAGGCAACTCTTGTTCAGAAGTGATAGTCAAAATGGGAATATGGAAATGTCTCCACGGGTGGAAACTATTCAATATGTGTAAGATTAGAAAACTTAATGCACGAAGGATGTTCAAAGCAATTTACTTTGAATATGAGACTTCGTTTCCATGGAGTTGATCTCCATTGGAATACTCTGTAATGTCTGTTGACAAGTCTTTGTGACTTTGTGCATAATCATTACACATGATCAGTGCATATAAGTTTAAAATCTAACAGATTTCGGTAAGTGGCAGGAATTTGGAATTCTTACATTTACGGTAAGGATTTGGGATTGTGAAATGAAAATCATTGGAATTATGTTCAATCGATCTATTCCAAAAAGTAAAGATCATAGACAAACATAGTGTGCATACTTTGTGTATGGAATTACTAGTGTTCAAAAAACATAGTGTGCATGCTTGGAGCATGGGACAACTATTGTTTTAATTCAAGTATTAAGTTGATAAATTTGAAACATTATACAATGAATAATGTGTAATCAATATGGTGATAAATAAAAGGTGTTCTATTTATATTCATAAGTTCTGAGACCATATAGGCTTCGATTATTCTTGTGTTTCACTTTGCATGTTTTGACTTCCAGAATAACTAGGTCATTCGTCCTGAATGACTAAGTTATTCAAACCATCCACATTAGATAATACGTTGGAAGTAGGTATCAAGGCAAGACTGTCATGAAGTTGGTTTGTAGATGTCTAAGGTATTGGACATAGCAAGAGTTGCTACAACATTCATGAGTGCTTATAAGTTCTGAGTATTGGATTAAACCCACGCTCATTTGAATCACTTTATGGATTTTATCACGAGTGATCATGAGACGATAATATCTTATATTCTTCAAACCTAGAGACATGAGTTGTTCACTATGAGTTGGTTATACATTGATTGCACGAAAACGCATTGGTAACTCGATGTTATAAAACATGCCTTTGTGTATGATTCAACAAGTAGTAGAACAAGCATATGAGTCGAAGTTTATCCATTCCTTTTACCCTTAAAGGGATAAAAGCGATATTTGTGGGCCCCTCGATGATTTAGTGATGACGCCCCGAAGTGCTTGGCCAAGCCTGGACTGATTTGACTTGTTCAATTAGTCGGTCGTCATAAATCGGAAATCGGGAAACAACAAATGGACAGAGAGAATGATTATAATCCATGTCCCAGTCCATATGATATCTAGAATGGAGGAATATATGATCCCTTATCTAATGGACAAATCATTGACTAGATCAGAGTTCGACAGCGGCTTTAAGAGCTACGATTGCTAGTCGGGTTTTGGAGTCATACGCAATAATAGTTTTAGACTTATCCAAGTGGGAGACTGTTGGATTAGTGTCTAAGTCCATAACTATGATTGGTATGTACTTGACCCGATTTGGCATGGTCCATTTGGGTTGCACTTCACCGGAACAATTTATATGGATAGTCTTTTGAGAATAGTATGTTTATGATTTATATTAATATATTATAAGTTCTAATATATTAATATGGAATCATATTATTTAATTAGTATTGATCAATAATTAATTTAGAATTAATTTAGTGATCAAAAAGGAACTAATTAAATATGGACTCTTATATATATAACATGGGCCAAGTTCATTTAGGTTGGGCTAAGCTTGCATGGATAG